GGTTAGATACCTGACTATATGTTCGACTGTTGATTCATTGGTATCTCCAACAAACTTTGTAAACTTAGGGACCTTATACCCCCTTGGTAAATCAGTATGTGTTATGTAATCTACTATAGGAGAGGCATAATTTGGCCTTCTAATTCCTGTATTGAGGCTATTTTGGGCCATAATCCTCTCTATCATGGTGGTTAAATTATTTTCTGCTAAGATGTTATCATTCCGAATTCTGTGAACGACTGCATCGGCATCTTGATTTCGACCCACCATGACAACTCCTCTAGGTTGTTCTTCTCGAAACGCTGGGACTTCTAGCCTTTCGACCCTTGCCCCTAGTTCTATAATTCCCCTCTGTGGTTCTTCTCGAAACACTGGGGCATCTAGCCTTTCGACCCTTGCCCCCAAATTAACCCCCTCTCTGGCCGGTCTATAGGGTGGGTCATCAGCAATTTGCTCTATGATGGGTATGTTCGCTCGAACCCCCACCTGATTCTGCCTATGCCTTTCCGGCGGAGCAAAAAAATCTGCTAGTCGACTCATGTTATCCGCGTTTTCTCTGTTTGTCACAGTTACATTTTGTACTATTGGGGCAAAGATTTCTTGCATAGTCTGAGCTAACACTCCTATCATATTATGGTTACTATCATCCATTAATTGCCTAAAAGCCAACTGATTTTCTGTGGTTAAGATAGGCAATGCACCATAACCTACTGACCCTTGGTTATTTGTCATAAATTGATTAGCCCCAGACCCAGACCCTAATTGTGGTGACGTATTCGATGTGGAATTGTGTAAACCTGCCATAAAAGATGTTGGCATTCCATAAGAGGGATTTCAGGTTCTGTTACCATCGAAATCGGGTGGTCTAGTTAGTGGGGTGGCGAAATGGGTTTGTGTTCCTGGCAGTGGGACGAATCCCCCAGGATAACCAGTGGTCCCTGCATTCCCTAGGGTCGAACCATTGGTTGTCGTGCCACTTGCTCCATTCGTGGCTACACTACTAGTAGATGATGCAACAGACTGTGTGCTCGAAGGGATCGCATTAGACGTTCCCGTCGAAGCAGACATATTAGTGCCTGTTCCATGTGGGATATTTTGTTCCCCTTGTTAATTGTTTGGATTAGACATCTTGTTATTACGTTTTCTTCTGGGTAAGGGTTGGTTGCTATTGGTTATTCTACCACTTCTAAGGTTCATATAACAACGAACTTATCACTCAGAAAGAACTTTTACAATGATTATATCCTAACAATCTTTACTTTGTTTTAAATTTCGTAACGACCAATGATCGTCCCACCGGGTGTGCCAATTTGTTTGCAGTGATTTTTGGCAAACAACCGCTAGTCCTTCAAACTATCAAATAATCTTAATGACTGTTATTTAATCTCTCTGGTAACTTGCAGGATCGACTAGATTGATCCTATGGGGTATTGGTCGTTTGGATAACTCTAATTGTAAAACTGATATTCATAGTTAGGATTTGTATTTAGAATGTTTTATAGACGTTCAACTCACTTCGATTACCATGTTAAAAGAGTCTAATGACATGATCAAGTAAAGAAACACGTCACTGAATTGCATGAATGAAGATTCGATTGCAGAGAAATGTTTAAATGCAGAAATAAGTAAATAACTTTGAATGTAAAGACTTCAATGTAAAAAGCATGAATATAAAGGCATGAAATGTAAAAGAGTTTCTGAAATGTAAAGGATTCGAATAGAAGAAAACGTTTAAATGCAAGAAATCAGTAAATGACTTTAAATGTAAAGGTATTTGAATGTAAAAAGCATGAATATAAAGGCATGAAATGTAAAAGAGTTTCTGAAATGTAAAGGATTCGAATAGAAGAAAATATTTAAATGCAAGAAATTAGTAAATGACTTTAAATGTAAAGGTATTTGAATGACATTGGCATGAAAATGGAAGGTAAACTGGAAAAGGTAAAGAGTTTTACTGAATTATAAATGCTTGGTGTTATCATACGTACATTGTTCGAGCATTCGTTTCCCTAGCCATGTGGTATTTTGAATGTTTACTGAATTTTGTACAATAGATATGACACACGAAATCCTAATACTAAGACTTCTATTTATACTACTTCGACCATAACGGTCTTGCCTATAAGATTCTGCCACGTTCAGAACATGCAGAGCACTGCTCCTTTCTAGCTTCCACGCGTCTTCGAACGCTCCAGCGCATATATATTTGAATTCCAACATCCCGCTCGCGTTCGAATTTTAAATGCTTTGGCAATCTTCGCTTCAAATTCATTTCACAGACACAGTCTCGATACCACTTCGAGGCTTCTTTTAAATATATCTTCACAACTGTCTCTCGAAACTCCGAGCTTTGACATGTCCGTTCGAAGAACCTCTTCTACCATTCCGAACTGTAACATTTTACTTTATTCCAACGAAACATCCATATTGCTTCATTTCGAACTGTATCATCAAAATCTTCAGCTAACACCCATGCATCATCAACATTACGTCTTCATCTGTTTTGAATTCCTCCAACCAAAAATTAGGTCTTCCAGTTGCAAGTGAGGTGGTTATTCTTCTTTGCTGGATCCTTCTAACTTTTTCCCCATCCTTGATTTCTCCCTCTAGTCATCACATCAACTCTCTCTTCAGATGCTCCATTGAGTGAATATGCCAAAATTTCATTTTCATCGAAGGTTTGGTGGACGAGAAAATAACGTATCCATCTCTGGTGAAAATCATGGGAGATGTCATGACGCAAATAACAAAGAAAAAAATAAGAAGACAATGCGAGAAAGTGTGAAGAATGACGGAGAATCAGGTCATTTATTTAAAGAAATGTGCATTGTCCTGGGCGCCTAGTGAGATGGCGCATCCTCTCACACTTAAAGTGCATGCGCCATCTCACTTGGCTAAAAGTAAGAGCATGCGCCAAATGAGATGGCGCCTAGGGCATAATGGTAGGTGCATGCACCAACTGGGTTGACTCCTCCTTTGTAGAATTTTCTGAAACATGATTATTTGCGTGGTTTTCTCTGAAAAATGATTATTTGTGTGTTTTTAAAACAAAATAAACTAAAAACATGAAAACATTGAAAATAAATTAACAAGAAAATATAAATAAAATATAGTATAAAAATAAAGGATAACATAATAATTAAAAAAACTCAACAATGGTTTTATAATTAAAAAGTTGCAGGCATTGGAAATGAAATATATATGAGCAACAACTGTGCATTATCAGCATTAAATGAAAATAGAAATTAATAATGTCTAACGGTTAAATTTTTATTTATTATAATTTAGAAATTTTAAAATTTTTTATTTTCTTAAATAATTTTTTTAATAATATCTGTTTTTAGTAGACTTTATATGAGAATATGAAAATGTAATAATAATTATTGAATTTTTATTTAATGATTGAGATTTAAAGATATTTTAAAAATTTGATTATTAATTTCTCATATATATATCATATGAGAATGAGTGAGAATGTGAGAATGAATAAGAACCATCAGATTCAAAAAGGAAAGGTTGAGATTAAGTTGAGATTTTCACTAAATCTTGTGTCATTAATAGGGAATAGAAATTAATAATCAAAATTTTAAAATATCTTTAAATCTCAATCATTAAATAAAAATTCAGTAATTATTATTACATTCTCATATTCTCATATAAAGTCTACTAAAAACAGATATTATTAAAAAAATTATTTAAGAAAATAAAAAAATTTATAATTTCTAAATTATAATAAATAAAAATGCACAGTTGTTGCTCATATATATTTCATTTCCAATGCCTGCAAATATATATATATATATATATATATATATATATATATATATATATATATATATATATATATATATATATATATATATATATATATATATATATATATATATATATATATATATATATATATATATATATATATATATATATATATATAATTCTAGCTTGTTGCTAAAAAAGGAGGTGTTCATTATTTATACTAACGTATCAAAACAGTTCACACATTATGAGAAGGTACATAATATATGATCTACAATTTTAATATATTTATCTTGAATCTTGAAATAACTTGGGTGTTAGAGTGCTAACCACGCAGGTCCACCCTGCACCGTCGTAAAAGAGATTAGAATCATCGTTGAAGATCCACAATTATCCAACTCTATTCATTTTTGATTCCTTCGAGAAGCTAAAGCTTTCACTTCTGATTCCCGAACAGAACAATGTCTCGTTTGTAGGAAACAACATACAATTCCCGTTAATTTTAGTAGTTGTGGCTGAAATTCTTAATGCATTCTCTAAATTGATTGTTTATCAGACATTATCAATCGATGAATTCCACATGCCTCTATGTACTTGTAAGTGACACCGACGGTCGAGGAAAAATAAATCGATCGGAGTTAGGATTTCTATACCGTGATAAGATCATTGAATTTCTAGATCTGGATTCTTGCAATCACCATTCCTGAACACAATCTAATCAGATTCCTCAAGAACGACGGAAATTCGTAATATCCTCTATTAAGATACGATGGAACTGATATGAATTCAACAATCAGATTTGAATCCATATGATAGAAGAGATATACTGACATTCAACAATTCAATCACTAGTCCTCAAGAAGACGTGGATCAATAAAAAAAAAGTGAATGAATAAAAAAAATTATATATGAGATACACAAATTTTTTAGTAACTATTAAAAATAACTATTAACAATTTAATTAATTAATAAAAGAATAGTAGGTTTTTTACTAAGTTTAGTTTAATTGGGCTTTTAAAAATAACTATTAACAATTTAATTAAGTAATAAAAGAATAGTAGGTTCTTTACTAAGTTTAGTTTAATTGGGCTTGGAGTTGCAACCCGGAACCAAGGCCCAATTTTGGTGAGAGCAATAATCCAGTTAGTTTAGTTTAATTTAAATAGTTGTTGTAATTATAAGAACAATCCTAAAAACACTCTTTATTCCATTCTTCTAAATCTCTTTCTTCTGTTCGGTCTCAGATGGCATTATTCTCAACTAATCTCAAGCTGCTTGTCATTCATCATGACACCATTCTTCTTGATCAAATTCAACAAATGTGTGATCGCTGTAATTATCTACTAACCAAATGCACTTCACCTTTTTATGCTCTTCATCTTCTTGCCGAAAGAAATCTTTATTTTGATATGATGCTGATTGATGTTTGTATGCCAAACATGGATTCATATGAGTTTCTTCGATATGTAACCCTACAACACAACATCCCAGTCATTGGTAAGTCCTTGCTTATGTAATTTAAGTCTTCCGTCAAAAAGTGTTGATGATTTCTGTTATTGGTAGTGTAACTAACATTATGATAATTTATTTTTGCAGTCATGTCTTCTGATGTAACAAATACTTCTGTCATGAAGTCTATAATTCATGGTGCTTGTGATTACTGGCTTCAACCTTTAGATGAAAAACAATTCAAAACTATGTGGCAGCATGTTGTCAGAAAAAGTCCGACTGAAAATAAAGAACGTGTTGTTCTTGGATTCTTGAAGGCTCAAAGCCCTAAAGAAGATGATGTTGTTGGAATCATGAAGGTTCAAAGCCCTAAAGAACATGAAGTTGTTGGATTCTTGGAGGCTCCTAAGCATGAAAGAAAACGGGAGAGAGAAGTCGGTAATCCTCCAAAAGAAAAAAGTGCAAAAAAGAGTCCGTTATCATGGACGCCGCAACTGCATCAACAGTTTGTAAATGCTGTTAACCAACTTGGCTTGGATGGTATGATTGATTCTTTTATATTTCTTTCCTTTTCTTTCTTTGTATTAATTCTTTAACAACAACTCAACTCATGTGCATTGTTATTCTTTATTTTCAGAGGCAAAACCTAGAAAGCTTGTCAAAATTATGGATGCTTCTGGTTTAACAATGGCTCAGGTTGCAAGTCATTTGCAGAAGTATAGAAACTATTTGAAGAGACCATCTTGTGGAAAAAAGTCAAAGAAAAGTACAAGAATTGACACTCCAACTGAGTGTATTAATAAAACATCATTAGAATCTGAACATGCTCAGTCCCAAAGTTCTCAACTGAACTCAACCCTTCAAAGAGATAATAATTCTGAAACACAACAACATTCAACTGATGTTACTAATTATCAAGTCTCTGACACTGGCTACAATTATGAAACACAAAAGCATTCAACAGATGTTGGCGATTATCAAGTCTCTGACATTATGAGCAACGATTTTCCTGATCCATTATCTGACTTGTTCATAGATTATGATGAGTTAATATCGTTATTATTATGAAAGCATCTGAATGGGATATACAAGGTGGTGGGGACTGATTCTTTAATTACGAGTTTCTCGTGAATGAAGAAAATGAAGCATGGAAGAAGGTCATGGATGGAAGACATATCCATCTTATTCATACTGTAATTAACTATTCTAACAGTTTCAGTTTTTTAGTTTTCCATTCATGAGTCAGCTTTGTAGTCTTAAAAGATGCAATGGTTTTTGTAACATTAATTTGTACTCTTAAATGTTCTTTGAAAAGAATTCTATAAAGAACTATTTTGGGATGGCAATGCTAGCATGCATTCTGATGTAATTACTAATATTCACTATTTTGAGTTTATTTGTTACATTCTTGTTACTAAAATTAATGTTAATTTGATGAACCTTAATAATTAATTTTTTAAATGATGTTGTGTTCACAATATTCTAAAATAAATTTTGTCAAATTCCGCTAAATTTGTTCATCGGTAAGAAATTGATTCATATAAATTCGACTTTTGTTGTTGGCCCTAAAATCTTGTTTGTCTCAAACAGAAATATATATATGCTCTAACTTTATAAGCTTGTGAGATTCTATTAACCGAATTTTTTATATCAAAAAAACATAAATTACTAAATGATTAAATGATTAAATGTGTTATAATTATATGAATAATCAAAAAATACCACAGAAAATATCAGTAACATGGACACCTTCAGCTGCCTACCAGATATTATCAGCGCGCTTTTCACTAACACCACAAACCTAGTCAAATACAATAAAAGTCTAAATTTTTATCTTTGGTTAGTTGTGGAACTGAAATTAAATTTGGCATAAAAGTTATGGACAAACAGAACATCTTTAAGATGCAAAATCAGAAAGAGATAGTTAGGAATAAGATATAACAAATCCGGGTCGATAAAATGCACCTAATACAAGTTAAACATATTAGATAATTCATTTAAAATTTCAAAGCTTAAAGTAGGTCATTGTTGGATTAGGTAAAATATAACTATTGGCTATCAAAGAGTATAAATGTAAGAGTCTTGTGCACTCTTTCTCACAGTAAGGCCTATTAAGTTCATTCATGAGTCTTTCTCTAAACTCTGCAACTTTCCTTGCAATGACTTCATTATCCTACAAAAAAAAAAAGTTCATCTTTTAAAATATAAAGCAACATAAAAATCCAACAAAACCTAAACATACCAAAAAAAATATTGATTTCAATTACAAGCAGTTAATCAAAATCATTTACCGCGTGATGTTAATCTAATGATCACTAACATAAGATAAAGATAAAATACTGAAATATAAGAAAAAGGAACAAAATCATGAATTTAAATATCACAACAAGAAAATGCAATGAATATGGGTAACTCGAAGGTGGCGAGACGGTTAGGGAATCCATAGAAAACAACACCCTCCTCAGGATGCTCTCCCATATAGGGTTTGCATCTAGGGCAGTGGCAGCTCCAACAT